GGATAGCCCCCCCCCCCAAGTCCTGCTATGCTGCCTCAACGTGGCAGAGGGGGGAAGTGTGTGTCACTGGGTGGAACGGGCTAAGCACGCCAGGAGCATAGCTTCTGGTAGGGCCACCCTAGGCATGAAGGCCGTTCCAACATGCCCAGCTAAAGCATAGCAGGTGAAGATCCTTCAGGGGATTACCGTCTTGGTAATCGGGTGTTACAATCCAGGAGCCCAAGTGATCTCTCTGCCCTTCTGCCGCCTCTCTTCATAACTGCAACTTTCCTCGTTTTCCTTCTCCCTTGTGATTTCCTCTTCTGGGATTCGGGCTCGTCATAAGAAGCTGGAACACCCTTGTCCTTAGTTCTTCAAGTGGCAAGAAAACTGCCCACGTGTTTGCTATGCGTTGAGACCCTTGTCACTGGAAAGGAGGGTCCTGGTAGTTGAGGGGCGAGGTACTGTCCCCAACACACTGCTTTGGCCTCTGCTTCAGTTAAACGGGAGGCACCTTGTCGTCCTCACGGGTGTCAATTGGCTGGTCACTAGTCCTTGTGTCAGTGGCTTGGGGACAAGCTCTCGGGAGTACCTGCTTTTGGGAAAGCCGACTGTGGGATTCAGTTTGTGTACAAGTCTCGCTAGCCCTGGTGTAGGAATCTGCGTCCCCTTTTTGGGCTCCATGGTAGGTTAAGCAGTCGGACCTGAATCTTCTCCATTTAAATATGAATGCTATGATACCTTCCTGCTCCAACAATATTCCTGATACTCCGATTGTGACCAAAAGTCTGAGAAGCGACACAGAAAGCACTGTATCAGATGTATTTTGTCCAGGTTTCTTAATTATAACCAGCTCTGAAGAATTGAAAAAAATGTCACCCTTTCTAATAAACAAACGTCTTTTGTCTTCTGTAGGAGAACTGAAAAATATTAAGAGACTTCGGTCTAGAGACATTTTGATAGAAACTGTGTCTGAAAAGCAGTCTAATAGTCTTTTGAAATTAACTAAATTAGGACAAGCAAACATTGCAGTTAAGCCACATAACACTTTAAATTTGTCCCGAGGAGTAATTTCTGAAATAGACTTACTGTCAGTAACTAAAGAGGAATTTCTTCAAGAGCTGGCAGATCAAAATGTGTGTGGTGCTCATAAGATCAAAATACGGAAAGAAGGTTAACTCATTCCCACTAAGCATGTCATACTTACTTTCAAGTCTCCTAACCTGCCTAAAAGCATCAAGGCTGGATACCTAAACTGTTCAATCAGGTCGTATACACCGAATCCAATGCATTGCTTTCCATGTCAGTGCTTTGGACATGGAAAGACCTCTTGTTGCGGTAGCCTCACGTGCACTCGATGTTCCATCGTAGGCCATGCCAGTGAAGGCTGCTTTGCTGCCCCTTTATGTATAAATAATAAAGGTGAGCACCCAGCTTTTCAAGGTCATGTCCGAAATGGCAGACAGAAAAACAAATTCAAAGCATTAAAGTCACACAAAACATATTTTCAGAAATCAAAAGACTTGTTCTCTCTAATCAGCCAAGACCTAATAAATCTTATGCATCCACTACAAAATCATTCAGATCAATATCAACTCAAACTACAATAACCACACAGAAAAATAGAGCTAGCAATGACAGAAGATCCTAGAAACCAAAAATCAGGGGAAAAACCTGATGCTGAAAGTAGTACGCCGGTGACTGGGTGCAAAGGAAAACAGGATGTCCAACATAACAAACATAAAGACGTAATCAAAGAGAAAAATAAGCAAAAACCCAGGACCCCCAGTCAAAGTTCTATCGCAAGCATGAGTTCAGGAGGCCTAGACGATTCAGACAAAATGGAGGTTGAACAAGGGTTATCCCTTCCGAAAAACTTAAGCCTCGAAAGTCAAAAAAACAACACCGCCAAAATAAGCATCCATTCCTTAATTTCAAGGAACTGCCAGGGTTTCCGTCAAAACCTGGATAATATCAAGGATTTTATCAACCTGCCTGATTTTCACTTCAGGAGACCTTGTTAAAACCAAGCAGACATGCTAGGATATGGAGATATACCACAGTAAGAAAGGACAACCTGTCTGGGGATCGTGCCTGTTGTGGCGTGGGCCTTACTGCCTTCCACAATCACCCATACACTGCTCTCTCTTTGACAACCTCTCTTCAAGCTGCTGAGGTTCAGATTGATTTATGCTTCTCGATCTTAATATGCACTATTTATTTACCCCCACATGAGCATGTAGATCAGAGAGAGTTGGACATAATAACAACAGCTTCCAGAACTTTTCGTACTTTTAGGTGACTTCAATGCACATAATACCTTATGGAAAAGTAGGAACACTAATTCAAGGGGCCAACAGATCAAACAATTAATGAAAGATCATTCTATTTGTCTGCTTAATAATGGAGAATACACCTACTCTCATCAGCCAACTAGAACATTTCATGCAATTGATCTGGCCTTTTGTTCTCCATCTTTACTTTCCTTTTGCTCTTTCAGTGTAGGGGAGAATCTCTATGATAGTGACCATTTCCCAGTGATTGTAAATATTACATGAAAGTTGGTGGACAATCATGCTTACTTTATGATAAAGCTGATTGGGATCTTTTTGCATCTTGTGCTGTGGTGACTGAAGAAATGGTAAACGATGTGGAGATTAATGTAGCAGTAAAAATGATCTCTGATGCCATTGTACAAGCAGCTAATCTCTGTATTCCGAAGTCCTCGAAGTTCCCAAAGCTCCCTAAACCCAGGTGAAACAATGATTGTCATGAAACTTCGAGAGAGCAAAAGAAAGCTTGGCGTATCTTTCACCGATATCCAACACTGGCAAATCTTCTTGTCTTTAAAAAAGACGAAGGCGAATGTAAGAAAGTGAGATGGCAAAGTCAGAGAAAATCATAGGCAGTCTACGTGTCCACTATTACCTCCGCAATGTCTAGCAAACAGGTTTGAAAAAGAGTCCGCAAAGCCTCTGGACTATAAAATGATTATCCTTTCTCTGTTCTAGAAAAAGATGGAAAGGTGATAAGCACTAGAGAAGAAATAGCCAATGCTTTAGGTGATACGTTTGCTGCTGTATCTGGCAGTAGCAATTACTCAGAAGAGTTTCTGTCCACAAAGATGCGCTTGGAAAGGATTCAAATCGACTTTTCCCATCCTAATGCAGATTCTTGTAATAAAGATCTTACCATGTTTGAATTAAGAAGTGTAATTTCTCGTGCTGATAGGACATGCCCTGGTCCTGATGGCATAAGTTATTTGATGATAAAGCATCTGCCCTATGATTCTCTAGTGGTCCTTCTCGCTCTTTATATAATAAGATATGGAAGGAACAAATTTTTCCTACTGCCTGGTGCAGGGCCTTTGTAATACATATAGCAAGTACAGGCAAGGACCCGAAAAATCCTTCAAATTATTGCACCATCGTGCACACTAGCTGCCTTTGCAAGACCATGGAAAAAATGGTAAATCACCATCTCACCTACTATCTGGAGAATAACCACTGCCTATCACCTTACCAAAGTGGTTTTCGTAAGGAAATATCTTCACTCAACAATGCCCTGTTTTTAGAAACCTGCAGTATGCAATGCATTTGTGAAAAGAAATCATGTGGTTTCAATCTTCTTTGACATGGAAAAGGCGTACGATAGAACTTGACAGCATGGAACTCTACATGACCTTTACAGCACTGGGCTGAAAGGTAATTTACCCATCTTCATTCAAAACTTTCTGAAGGACCGCACTTTCCAAGTTAAGATTGGTTCGTTACTCTCTAAGGTATTTATACAACAAGAAAGTGTACCCCAAGGTTCAGTGTTCAGTGTCACTCTTTTCAGCCTGAAAATTAATTCCATTTTAAGAGAACTTTCTCCTACAAAGCATGGTTACCTGTATGTTGATAATATGATGAACTACTGTCACGGTCAAGATATGAGATACATTGAGAGACAGCTGCAAATTGCTCTAAACAGAATGATAAAGTGGTCCAACAACAATGGCTTTAAATTTTCTAGCCAGAAGACCGTCTGCGTGCATTTCTGTCGCAAAAGAAATCTACATCCTGATCCAGAGCTGCATTTTGACGGCTCTTTGATCCGCGTTGAGCCAAAAGCAAAATTCCTAGGAGTTATTTTTGACAGAAAGCTCACCTTCCTTCCGCATATCTTAAATTTAAAGAAAAAATGTGCTAAAGCTCTCAAATATACTGAAAGTCCTTGCCAATACTTCATGGGGAGCAGAATGCTGTTCTATGCTCCACATTTATAGAGCTTTAATATTTTTTAGCTTTATATTATTTAATATTTTGAAGTTTTTTTTCTTTTCCTTTTATCCTGCTCTACCTGTTGCTAGAGCATTTCTCCATGCCTTCATCAGCATTTCAGGTTCATTTCATCAATTCACTTGATACAGTGCATTTGTGCATCTTGAATTTTATTCACCATTTGTCTGGCGCATAATAACCCTTGAGGTTTTGTGCCATTAAAAATCAACCAACCAAGTAGGATAAAAAGCTTTTGTTTATCAGTGTTTTCAAGCAAAATAACACAAAAAGTAACAGTTAATATGTTATAATTGAGCAGATGCACTTGGTAATCATTAATTAAAAGTTTAAAGCAACAATTAAACACTAAGATTTATTTATTAAATGTTAGTTAAGTCTGCCTAAAATAATTTAGAAAACTCTATAATAGATTAAAATACATCAAATAAAACAAATATTAACCAGAAAAATTATCCTGTAGATCATGCAAGAAAAGAAAAGCAAGGAAAGGGAATTTACACAGTTTTCAGTTTCATTAAGGAATGACAAAGCTTTTTTTAAGAACCTGCCATCGAAATCTACTTCATGTCACATCCTCTTTTTTTTTCATATTTAGTAACTAATTATTTTTCTAAAAGTATATTTGAAAAAGATGACTGAAATATTGATAAATGCAATGAAAAATAACAAGTCTACTAGTTTTATCAAGAGGGTTGGCATTTCTAAAACATCAATACAATTTAAATGAAAAATTACCTATTTTTATCTTTCAGCTTCCATCTGTTATCATTAAACTGATATAAATGAAATGCTACATCATCACAGTCTAGAGACATTTTCTGGTTATCTACCTTAAATTTTAAAAATGCATATTAAAGATATAGTAAGGATTTTTATGAAACAGTTACACGAAATGGTAATACAGTTTACCTTTAAAAAAGAAATAAAATAAATAATATATTAATCTAACATTTCTTCATCATAAACTGCTACCATTAATCATTATATGAAGCATTAATTCAGTAACATTTTACAATTAATATAAAATAACAGAGGATGAGAAATATTTATATGAAGAAAAAAACTGTAATAAAAAAATTCCAAAAGTATAATAAGCTTTTCAGCTGATTAGATATATTATGCAACTGCGAATTATTTTCAATACCCAATAAAAATTTAAACAATGTAAAACAAAAAGCATGAACAGGAAATGTATTTTTAGCACCTAGAAACATATACCATTTTCACTAAATAAAATTATATGTTTTTACTTTGTGAAACAAAAATTACATTTTATCATAAGAATCTGTTACTATCAGGAAAATATCAGAACAGGGTGATGGTTTACTACCTAGACCTGAAACTGTGTTAAGAAATAGTGGCCGTAGTATTGATTTCTATGGCTCTGTGTAAGCAGATTTACAAGTAATTAGAAATATAACCATCCTTTACATAGAGGAACAAATAAAACACTACTTCTGCATGGAACTTAAAATATTAGATAAATTCATAGAATTACCAAGGACAAAAGTCAGCTCCAAAAAATGGAAAACTATCCACACTGAGATGAAGTATGTGATTTTATGTTGTATCTTAAACAAGCCATTTTTAAAATGCACTCCTGGATACTACATATTAGCACAATCCCCTTAATGCAGTTTGATGATTTTTTACAGAAGAAAAAGAGCATGACTGAGGGGGGGGATATCATACTTATGTGTCAATACGTGCATATTTTAGTTTTAATTTGGTATTTATTCTCAAAATCAATCAACACAACAACTTAAACAAGCATGTTTTCCTGCCCCTTTTCGTTCTGGCATATATTTCAGAGTGATCGCTTTAAAAGAACAGATCTAAAGCAATTGTTTCCTTTAACAGCATGTTTTGGTGCCACATAATAAAGAGTGTAGGCAGTGACCAGATGTCTCCTCTCACTTCATATTACATAATTTTGCAGATGCCTACATTTTTCTACACTTTCTGAAAACATATCAGTTCTGCAATCACCAAAACTGTATGCATAATTAACTGTTTTGTGCTTTAATTCAGCCTCTAGCTTTAGAGTTTTACATCCAAATCTACAGTCAGAATAAACGATACTTCCTTGCTTAACCTTTTCATTTATTTTCTGCATCAATTTAGCTCCCCTTCTATTAGAAGTTGCAGACAAGAAAATTTCTTTTGTTTTCCAGTAGATCATTCCCAAAATCCACTACAGCAGCAAAATATGTCCAGCACTTTGTTTTTATTTTGAAAATAGACTTTCATATATTTCAATGGCTAGTTTTCCATTCTCTGTTTTTTGGCCTTTTTTTTTTTTTTTTTTTTTTTTTTTTTTTTAAATCAAGCATGCAGATCTCTCAAACATAATTGTTCCAGTCTATCACAATCAGCCATTTTAAACTCCTTATAACAAATTTTAATGCTTGTTAATTTTTTGCTCCAACAATACACAAATCTCACAGCTGTAGCCAAGGGCAGATAATTATTATCAAAGCAATTACCTGTTCGAATACCGACTTGTTTATTAAAATTTTTCACATTGAATTTCCAAAAAAATTGTTTTCTAAAATACTTCACCAAATGTGAATTTGAGCTTAAGGTATAAAATATCTTGATTTATTTGTAGAGTTTATAATATAACAAAACAAGCACATATGAAAATAGCGACATTTCTTATTCCATCTTACTGTTATGTGTCTCACTGCCTAAATTTGGAACCTTTTACTAAAGTGATTGTGCTAATATATAAGTATACACTTCAGTTCATTCAATGTTAATTTTAAAAAAATTAAACCTGAAATTAGTAATGAAAATTTCCTGTTTTGGCATTAAAATCAGTATAAAATAAAATGAAAGTTTTTAAGCCCTTTTAAAATATAATTATAATTTCTGAAGTAACCTTTTCTGATCATATGTTTGCTAGAACCTAATGAGATATGTGCATTAAAATAATAAAAGAAAAGCATGGCCAGTTTTATAGTTAACAATTCTTAGTGCAAATTTATGTCCCCATTTAGCATACTAGTTGCTGTGACAGTGGAATGATGTCCCAATGTTACATTTTCATCACATTACATTTGGGATCATGATACAATGTCACTGTGATGTGGATGGAAATGCTGTCTGGATGTCACATACACATCATAGCAAACATTTAATGTGACAACAAGAAAATTCTCAGTCTTCTCCATTCTGACCTTACTCATATAATTCTTCTACAACCGGAGGTATTCCTGAATTCAGATCTTGCCCTCCCCTGATTTACTGTAATATGTTTCAATAAACTTTCCAAAATCAATTATTTTTTATGCTAATAATCTGTGACTTTAGGTATTTCTTTTTTATTAAAACTATTGACAGTTTATAGCATCTTTTTGCTTGATATGACACTTAAATCGTGGAACTATACTCTGTGAAGAAAGCATACACTTCTACCATATTTAATGTTACCAAGAGAGGCTGACTAGACAGTTAAGTGTAGCATTTATTTGTCTAGAGCAGGGGTTCTCAACCAGTGGTATGCAAAGAAGCAACATATTTTTAACTATTAAATTCAAAAATTAAACCCCAACATCCAGATTGAGTTTTTTCTCTAACACTCATAAATTTATGCGATCTGAGCTTTGTTCAAGAGTGGTGGTGGTGGTATGAAAGGTTTTCAATTTTTATTTAGATGGTAAACATTAGTTAAAAGGTTGAGAACCGCTTGTCTAGAGGATTTTCGTGATCATTTCCTTACATTCGCTCCTTTTGTTAGCTGAATATCTTGCCACTGCTAAATTTTCAGGTAAGGACTGTTTATTGTATATTAATATGAACGATATCAGTAATAATTAATATATATTAATAAAAGCATAATTTAAAAGCTATGAACAAAAATAAATAATGAGTTGAAAATCAATTTATCTTTATTTATATTATGAATAGTACGATAGCAAAGGCATCAGCAAAAGTATACTATCACTTTTGCCTCACTGCTTAAAAATTTTAATTTAGGGATTCGGTTTTATTTGGTAGATATAATTCAACTTCTGTTGTTTTAATATAAAAAGATAATGTGAAAAAGAAATTTATTTTATGCATTTTATTGCAGTATTTTGCAACATGCTCTGCTACTTTTTAAAACTAATTTAACAAATTTATTAATTATTTCTATGTATGGTATATTGCATCACATTAAAAATTATGCCTTACTTCCATAATCAGGCTCTAGTTATATATATAATAAGTTTTTTAAATATAACTTTACAAATGGCATATTACTTTTCAACACGGAACTTTTTTACGTTTCCTTTATGTAAAATTTCTAAGATTGTTTCTAAAATTTATTACATTAGTTCTTTTCTTCATGTAAATTATGTCTTTTTACATATATGTTGCGTTGTTCAAGTAACCAAATTTCTTTATAAAGAGATTTAGTTACAAAAAATATCTTTCAGTTTAGGTTAAGTTATTTGAATGTGGAAAAACACACAATGGCCGCTTGCCTAAGAGAAGGTATGCTTTTGTGGAGCAGTTTTAAAGGAAACTGCCTCGTATTCATACAACATATTCAGAAACACGTGAAAGCCAACCATGCAAAAGTATTTCTTACTTGAAAGATTTAGGGGATTATAATAATGATGCTAAATTTTTAAATACATACATTGATTAGTTAAATGATAATATAAAAATAAGGAAATTACATTTCATTCGTTCTTATACGTGAAGGAAATTAAAATCTCACCTATGACAAAAAAGTGTAAATTAATATTCAGGGTTCGCACACATTTCTTTTCATGAAAATTAAGTACTTTTAAGGACATTTAAAACACCATTAATGGGGAAAAAAAAAAAAAAAAAAAAAAATAAGGACCTATGAGCAAATGGGAACTGAATAAATTTAATAAAAAATATTATCTAAGTCTGAACTTCACTCTTGTAATACGATCCTAAAAATAAATAGATCTGTAAGTAGGTTACGTATTATTAAACATAACTTAATTAACATAATTATTGATAAGTTTTAGAATAAAATAAACTTCATGATATTTATTAAGTAGCATTAAATATTTTACACTTGTAATACTTGTACATAAGAAATAAGAAAGATAAGTTCAAAGTGACATTTTATTTATGTTTTACTAACAGTTAGCTTTATGTTGACTTTTTTATGTCTCATTTTTGTCACAAACTTGTTCAGTCTACAGGTTTAGTAAACAGCAGGTAGATTTTATGTCAAGAATACAGTTAAAATGAGAAGTAAAACCATAAACATCATGATTCATAACAAAAGACTGGCTGATGTCACCGCTGCTGCTTGCCTAGAGAGAGATATGCCGATTAGAACAAACCTGAAAGGCCAGACGTAGGGAAGTTTTGAAAATTTTGTTGGCATTTGTCAGACACAGTCAGTATTGTAACTTCATGTACAGTTCCAGGAGTCGTTACCCAGTTAATATACAAGGTGATTATAATTAAAGTTTCAAAACGCTGTAAAAAAAGAACCACTCATGAAAATGACGTCAAATTTGAAAGGAATGTTATTGAAGAAGGCGGAAAGCGTATGGCAGAAGAAAAAATTTAGTTTCAAAAGTTAGCAACAGATGGCGCTGCAAGCGGAAGAATATGTAAATTAACTGTTAGTTAAATTTCAGTGTTATAAAGCCACCAGGTACCAGGCTGTTCCTCATTTCGCGTCTCAGACGTTCGCCATGGGTGTTTCACTGCAGGACCGCTCTCTGCTGGTAAAGCTGTATTACAAGAATGATGATTGTGCAAGAGCAGCTCTGCAAAAATTCAGGACACTGAAGGGTATAAAAGAAGGCGTTGGTCCAATGAGTGTCGTAGGATCTAAAGAAAATGATGCAAAAATTCAAAACGACAGGTTCGTTTGATGTGTAATCTGGTAGAGGGAGAAAACGAGTGCATTCGACGGTAGTTGAAGAAGTGGCCACAGCAGGAGGGGTCGGCCGGTGGTGTGCAACCGTGCAATGCATGAGGAATTGCCCGAACATTGGACAGGCCTACGAGCACAGTGCTGAAAATTGTACGAAACATCCTGCAATGCTATCCGTATAAAATTGGCCATGTGCAGGAGTTACTTCCGTCTGACCTGACAGCTAGGGAGACATTTGCGTTAGAATTCCTGGCTCACATGGAAGTGGATAATGAATGGCCATGAAAATTTTGTGGACAGATGAAGCCCATTTCCATCTGACAGGATACGTGAATACCCAGAATTGTTGAATATGGGCAACAGAAAATCCACTGGCAACGCACCCCGTACCACTTCATCCTGAAAAGGTCACGGTATGGTGTGGCTTTACGGCATCATTCATCCTACAACCATATTTTTTCGAGCAGACGGGTGCTTCCGGTCCTGTTACCGCAACCGTCACTGGTCAGAGGTATGCGTCGCTTTTGCGCAACCACGTGATTCCAGCTCTGCAACAGTGTGGATGAAATCATTTTTATGCAAGATGGCGCTCCTCCGCACATTGCACATCCCGTGAAGCAGCTGCTGAGGCGCCATTTCGGAAATGCTCGAATTATCAGCCGTCATTTCCCTACAGCCTGGCCGTCCCGATTGCCTGATCTTACTCCGTGTGATTTCTGGTTGTGGGGATATCTGAAGGATGTTGTGTTCCGTGCTCCAATTGCAAATTTAGGGGAATTAAAGGCACGCATTTCGCAACACATTCTGAACATCACCCCGGAGATACTGCGATCCGTTGTGGAACATGCTGTTTGTTGCTTTCAACTTGTTGCACACAATGGTGGACACCATATTGAACATGTTTTGCGCCAGTCTCGCGACAGTTCCAAACTTCTTTGATGAATCGTTCTTATGCGGTATGTCGCCGCATAAGAACGCCATCTGTTACAGCGCCATCTGTTGCTAACTTTTGAAACTAAATTTTTTCTTCTGCCATACACTTTCCGCCTTCTTCAATAACATTCCTTTCAAATTTCACATCATTTTCATCAGTGGTTCTTTTTTTATACTGTTTTGAAACTTATACTTTAATTATAATCACCCTGTACTTAAAGGCTCTAATAAGCCAGTGAAGCACCATAGGTGATATGCAGAGATGATTTTTTAGGGTACGCAGTTAGTTAAAAATACTTAAATTAGGCAACACCGCACGGAAAAAAAAAAAAAAAAAAAAAAAAACACATTTTTATCTCCAGCATGCAAGATTGTATTGGAAATTCTAAAGATGCGCTCTTTAAAATATTTTGTCCTATTACTGTTGAACTAAATTTTATGGTTTAAGTGGGAAGAATATGATATTTATTAAATAAAGGTAACACACAAAACATGAAATAAATGCCCCTTTGGGCATAATGTAAAATCTGAAAGCTTTTACCTTTTTGTATTTTTTAATTGTTATATTTTGTACTATCTTCAGTACTTACTATATACGTATTTAAAGTTTAATTCTACATGTTCTTTTGGGCTACTATTTTAAGTAAGAAAGAATTGTAAGGCCCTTCATAAGGATTAAATTATACACTATCATTTAAGCTCCGATTTTCCCTTTCTTTTAATACTTATATATATACATGCAGGAAGTATTATTATACATATATGCGAGAAGTATAATTATACAGTCAAAAGTCTTTAATCTGGATTCGTCCGGACTTCGGTGATTCCGGATTATAGATAATCAATTTAAATCTGGTAAGATGGCATGCAGAAATTATAAAATTAAAAATATGAAACAGTAATTTATGAAATAAAGAGCAATTATGATCTAAAGGGTATCAAAATTTGCAAAAAAAAAAAAAAAAAAGTTTATATTTATTTGTTAACTTTATTAAACATTTCTTTCAACGCGCGCATGCATTAAGCATACATTACACATAGTCTCGAAATTAGAAAATTGCAACCAGAAAACTATTTGATGTGTATCCGTGATATTTATAACAACGAGGAATTTGATTTAAATCATATCAAAGACGGAGTACATTGAGATGAAATACTACATTTAGTAAGGAATTATAAGCTGAATAAAATAAAAACATCTGCCTTGGAGATAAGGATAGTGCTGACAGATCAACTTCCAGTTCATTGCACGCTGCGACATCCCCCCCCAAAAAGCAGCGTGAAATTGATAAACAGATTTCGGAATAGTTAGAGAAACAAAGGATATGCCTTTATCCATTTTTTGCAGCAATTCCACTTTTTGTTTTCTGAACATCGAAACATGCTTTCGCTAATTTTAGCTTAGCTTATACCGTCCGTTATACATTAAACGAGCATGCGTAAACGTATTATGCGCATACGTAAACACATTATGCATTAACGCATGCATAGAAAGTTTGTAGCTTTGAGGTCCAGATTATGGACGTCTGGATTAAAGACTTTTCACTGTATATGTGAGTATTATCATATATATATGCATGTGTATGCGAGATAATAACATATGCAACAGTACCTAGAGACCAAATTTTTAATAACATAGTCCTCTACCAAATATGGGCATCTGGAAGCCCTAATTTGGAATTTGTTTTATTATTGACTTATTCTTTTGTAACACTTTAAATGAATTTTTGATTAACAAACTCAATGATTTTAAAGTGAGTAATGGCAACACTGTATGAGGAAAGAAAAAAAAAAAATTATCTCTAGTGCACAAGATTGTGTATCAGAGAACCTAAGATATGCTCTTTTTAAATATTTTATGATACTCCTGTTGAACTGAATTTTATGGTTTTAAGTGTGAAGAACATGATATTTAATAAATAAAGGTAACACACAAAATGTTAAAAAAAGTCCTTTTGGCCATAATATCATATAAAACCTGAAGGCCTTTCAGATTTTTATTTTTAAATAATAACAAATTTTAAAATGAAAACAATGAAAGGAAATTAATTACCATTACAAGACAGGCATCAGAAAAGTTCTCGTATATCTTCTCAGCTATGCGATAAGCAATAAAATCTGGGCTATATGAAAAAAAATATATGATTTTATAATTTTATATTCTTATAGCAAAACATATTTCAAATCATAAGAAAGAAATATTCTATTTCTAATCTGTTGGTAAATTTCTGCTTCTGCAGGCATTGTGTGAGGAAGATTATAATTCTGGTATGTGGCTTGTTTGATGTTGTGCAATGTCATTCGTTACATCATATTTTTCATTTATTATCACTTACTGTATACATGGACTGCATAATTTGTCTCCTATATTTTTTGGCAATAAATTAATTACCATTGTTAAGGGCAGACAATGCAATATACACTGTCTGTAAATAACGAGGTTAGAGTAGAAAATATAGATGAAAAGTGACATCGAGATGATGAAATTGGAGTGATTTCAACCAACAGAGACTATGGAAAAAAAGAGCTTAGTTGCAACCTTGATATATTTCAATTTAATAATTACTGTTGAGATTCTGATTGACATCTATTACTGAAGGAATTTTTTTTCTTTTTAAAAACTCCAATATGGATATTGAAAATTTAAAATAGAAGTACAGGTTATATGACAATATTTAGAATGCTATTTCACAGAATATGCTTGAAATCAACAAATTTTCCTTGCCTGCTCCACTTAAAATAGAGGTGCTACTGGGCACACACATGCTCATATGAAAAAAGCTCATTTGTTCCCATGCTTTTATGAAATCAATAAGATAAACTTTTAACAAGAAATATTATAAGCAATGTTTACAAACTATGTAAATTTATATTTTTACATAGTAAAAAGTATTATTTTTAGTGAATTTATGGATTCAACCTGAAGCATCTGCAACAAGTTTTATATGCAATTAATAAGAATTGATTTTACTATTTAAGGTTAAAATATAACTGCTGGTTTCTTTTCCCTCTAGCACTGATTCATACTTAGTACTTATCCCATATTTAAGGATTGCTGCATTTTCACCTGGCAACATTTTAATGACCAAAAAATGCTGCAGAATGTTACCAACAGATCATAAAGGAAAAATTGAGCAAAAGAAGATCCTGAAACAAATTTATGAACAACGAAGTTTAAACAATATATAAATTTACCTGGAATCTTTGACATGTTCATTGGCTTGATAATAACCAGCAATAACTAAGGAATTATCTTTACAATACTGATCAACCTACAAAATAGGAAAATGGTATTAAAAATATTCAATACAATATATGATTTGTGAATGCAGAATAATAACAATATACAGTACAAAGTCCATAATCCGAACATCCATTATCCGGAATGATCTATAAATCGGACCTCAAAGCCAAACTTACGCATGCGCGTAAAGCGTTTACCAAAAGTTAAAAAAGTCACAGAGAGGTTATTGAAAATGGAAAAATTTTGATTGACAAGTTAGTCGGTATTCCCGACACAGCAATTACAGGACTTGAACAGTGGAACTTTGTAACCGAACAAGAAAATATGTCTGTTTATAGAATTAAAGAGAAAGTATTAGCACAAAAACAAAGCAACTAAAAACAAACTTACATGAAAGAAATGTTTAATAAAGTAAACAAATAAATATTAAGCTTTTTTTTTTGTAAATTTTGATATCCTTTAGATCATAATTGCTCTTTATTTCATAAATTATGGTTTCATATTTTTAATTGTATAAATGCATGCCATCTTACTGTATTTAAATTGGTGATCTATAAACCGGAAAAACCCCTAATCCGGAATTACTGAAGTCTCGGTGAGTCCGGATTACGAACTTTGTACAGTCAAAAGTATTTAATCAGGACGTCCATAATCCAAACCTCAAAGCTACAAACTTTCTGCACGTGCGTAAACGCATGCGTTTAATACGTTGTGCATGTGCATAATACGTTTACGCATGCACGTTTAATGTATAACAGATGATATAAGCTAAAATTATCTATTTCAGTTAATGTTGCAGATTGCGTTGTTCCTTAATCTTCTAATTGGATCCGGCTTATTATTTTTCCAGACTGTTAGAGCAATTTTATAAAAGTAAGCTTGAACTTTCGATTATGTCAAAAAAGAATTTCTGATTCTGGAGCAGCCAAAGAATCTACAAAGCGAAAGCATGTTTCGATGTCCATCAAACAAAAAGTGGAATTGCTGCAAAAAATGTATAATCCTTTGCTTCTCTAACCATTCCAAAATCTGTTTATCAACATCACGCTGCTCTGCGGGGGGTAGGACGACATCGCGGTGCGCAATGAACTGGAAATTGACCTGTCAGCACTATCCTTATCTTCAGGGCAGATGTTTTTATTTTATTCATCTTATAATTCCTTACTAAATGTAGTATTTCATTTGGACGATTCCGTCTTTGATATGATTTAAATCAAATTCCTCATCATTATAAATATCGCGAATACACATCAAATAGTTTTCTGATTGCAATTTTCTAATTTCGACTATGCGTAATGTATGTTTTACGCATGCGCGCGTTGAAAGAAATGTTTAATAAAGTAAACAAATAGATATTAAGCTTTTTTTTTGTAAATTTTGATACCCTTTAGATCATATTTGCTTTTTATTTCATAAATTACAGTTTCATATTTTTTATTTTATAATTTCTGCATGCCATCTTACCAGATTTAAACTCATGATCTATAATCCAGAATCACCGAAGTCCCGACGAGTCCGGATTAAAGACTTTTGATTGTACTGTAATATATATATATATACACACATGAAAAATGAAATGAAATATAGTTATTTAGGCATGACAGTATATTAATCCTTTAAATAGTGCTCTTGTTAACTAATTGTTACTTGTAACTTGTAACCTAAAAGGATTTAAATTCAGAAAAGGCATAAGGAAAAAAACCATCGGCTTATCTTAGGAATATGGTAATAAATAGTTTGGCGACATTTTGGTAAGGCAATAAAGGTTACTATCTAGGACTTTAGCAGTGTACATGGATAATGTCACGAGTGTGCACAATGCCATTTTTGTGCAATTCTGGGACTTTTTTTTTAAATGAAAGTAGGTCGACGTGTACATGGATACCGTGTATGTGCAATTCTTAAAAACGTGGCAAGCAGTGGGCGATTCTGCACTTTCTCCCAATTTCGCACCTAATCTTCGTCATGATTAAGCACTTTTGTTCCATAAAAGTTCTAGCATAAGCGTAATTCGGCTAGCAGATTGTTGGAAAAAAATTTTGAGTAAAAAAAAAAAAACCTTTACTTTGTGAAAACAAAATGGCGTCCAAAGAAAGTCTAGCAGGTTGCTGTAGCACGGTTGGTCGCCAAATTTTCGCCAAGTTACCTTAATCCGAAGATTAACCAAACCATCAAATGTCATCATTTAGCTAAAAATACATCCCTAATATTCTTGCACTAATAACATTAAGTTCTCGTATTTTGCAATAAACAAAAACAAGGCATTGGAGCACTTGATAGCATTCATAAAAACCACAAGTTTATAATACAGTTGAGGTTTAAAAAAATAACATTTATGAAAAAAATTCCTAGTTTGATTTCTGAGTCTGAAGGAGAAAATTAAAGAGAGTGGAAGAAATTTATACAGCATGATCAATCCTTACATACTTGATAGAAACAATTAAATAACAACAGGAATGATTTTCAGGTTAACTAATGTCTGAAAATTATAAGAACTGACAGTACTTTTCTGTTATGCACCTACCATGCTTTTTGGGATGTATGTATGGTAAAAAAAATATTTACGGGTGGGTGCCCTTTGACGATAATTGGCAGTACATGGACACTGGGTTTGTGCAGTTCTTTAACTTGTTATTTTGGCTTTGTGTAGCGGCGATTTTTGACCAAAAATCGACTCTAGCTAAATCAGAAAATTTAGCTAGCAAGACATGTCTTGGAATTTAAGATAACATGCAAGTTTTTTTTTTTTTTTTAATGATTATCACCTCAATTCCAATTTAAAATAGTATTATATTTAATAAATAAGTAAACATTTCATTAAATTTCAGTGTTTGCATAAAGCCTAGAATGAAAATTTGGTACTCTTCTGTTATCAGGACCCGATTCAGAAATGTATGTGTAAATGCAAGTATTTATAAATGTATATGCATATTCTGTAGGCGGACATTTATGTGTATACACACGCACACAAAGGAACATACATGCATATACATACATAGATTTCTGAATATGGTGCCGATAACAGAAGAGTATCTAAAAATTTCAGTCTTTCACAAGCAGTTAATTTCTACAGAATTAGAGCTGTTCCCACACTTGGTTACAATACACAATTACCAATTATCAGATGAACAAATTTCCACAACTAAGAACCAAAAATATGAATACAACTTAGCTTATGCTGATTACATCAGTTAATTAGATAATAAAGCTAACATATTGGGTGACGAAAAAATATCTTGTAAAAAATCTAGTCAGGTACAGATAGCTGAAATAAATAGACTGTTGGTGTTTGGTGTTGTTGCCTAATTAAACTCAATGCAGCATTCAGCAAATCAGTATAAAATTAGTTCAGATAAACTTGTATGTTATTCTAAACATTTTTTTTTTAAATATGCAATCATGACCCAACAGGTTTAACTGGTAATATGCCAAACAGTACTCTTATGCTGTAATGTGCAAGTGTTTTAAACAATTATTTTTAATTACCAGCTTTGTTTTTTCATACTCAAATCGAGCAGTCTCTCTTAATGTTACATAAACAGTTACTGGGTAATACAACTTACGCAATTTTATTTTACTCACACTAGCATTATAATACACATCAGATTCTCTAATCCAATGAGTATGTGGCAATGACATGTTAAAAAAGTACAGTGCACCATTAGCTGCACATAAAAGTGCTCTGTTATTTTTAATCATCATTTCCTTAGCCATATTCAGCAGTATGCATCTTTACATGAATACGGAGCTTGCCAACAGACATTTCATTCATGGGGCTGAGCACAGAAATCAGACATCTGCTTAAAGAAAGTATTTGGGAATTAATTCTCCATATCTTTCCACAGCTATTCCATTTTATCCACAGCCCCATAGATAAAATTCTAAAATTGCACACTGCTAAATTCCCACAAGAAACAGCAATTTAATCCAGGAAAATGCTTTTATGTACCATTCAATATGCTTTTTCTACACAAACACTCCATTTGAAAACCTGCTTGTTTGTCCTCTCTACCTGTTTTGATATTTTCCAACTTCCTGTATATATGTTAATAAGCACTACAATCAGTACACATCTGCTGATTTCTGAATTCTATAACATGAAACTCTTTTTGCAGCAGCTAATTTTATATATGCTATGTTGAAGAAGTTTCTTGTATAAAAAGTTATGCAGGTACAGGAAAACCAAAATCGGATTTACTCCACATATTTATCATGGATCATTTCAAAAAATTACAAGACGTTTCTTTAGATCCTCTTAGTAATTCTGAAATAATTCACCTCTCCCCGTGAAAATGTATTCGACAATGTTTTTCTGCGTAACAAATTCCTGTACTTCTGGCCCTAAGAAAACATCGGACGTGGCTGGCTTTTTATAAATAAAAAATACTGAGCTACTAATTTAAATTCATCCGCTTTCTCACCTCAGAGAAGTTGCGAAACTTTTCTTAATGATGTAAGTTTCTAATTTACATAAAATAATTTTTTTTCAAACACAGAAGAAATAATTTCTAAAACATTTAATAAATTTTCTTTCTACTTTTAGCATCAAGTTTAAAAACGAAGCAGAATTTTTGCAAAAAACTAAACACGCATAATAAATACTCAACCTGCATCATCGCAACTTCCAACATTGGGGTCAAACTCAAGCTTAAATGAAAGAGAGGAATGCAATCTATTATATTTACAGTCCCACAACCGTGTTCTTTATTTCTTCTTTTCTCAGCTAAAAATATGCCATTTACAGCATGATGAGGATACTTCATGGCGTGCAAAAGCATTTTACAATACGCTCGCACACCTATTACGATGTCCGCCATTTTTAACAAGAAGAGATGAGTCGTTTTCGAATTTCTGCAGAAATTTAAATAAAAATAATAAACTGAATTCTAGGAGTGGTGTGGGTACTTGTATTTGGGTCGAAAGCCTACCTCATGTAGAACAGTTTATCTTTCCTAATTATTACAACAGAGAACTAAAAAGAGAATGTAAAGTACTAAATTTACAGAGATGTAATTATTAGGTGGGGGTGTGTGTATATAGTATATATATACATATAACGTATGTATTCAGAAGATCGAAGCATTATAAAAGCTTTAAAAGAGAGGGGAAAAAAAAAAAAAAGAAGAAGAAGAAGAAGAAGAAAGGCGAGAAAGTCCTGGTACAACAGATGAATTCAATTTAGTTTCCTTAGAATAAGTTCAAAGGAATCTGTTAGTTCGTTTTCTTAAATTTTATCAGGAGCGAAAATTATTGAAGTTATTTGGTCTAAAGACTTTGCAATGAGAGTGATAAATTTTCTTTAATTTTGAATCTGTAATAGGCATAATAATAGTTTAATTTTACCAGAAATTTTACTGAAATCAAAATCTTTACATTTAGGTTCATCTAGAATGTTCTGACGTTAAAATGTCAGATCACACTGACTGCGAATTGTATTCATATGATAGTAACCTAATCACCTATGAGTGGATAAATTATTATTTTCATCATCAAAGAAAACACCCATTAACTTCAAAACATAAGCACTAAGGGAATATAAATTATGTTTATTTGTAGATTGTGATGGCTCAGCGAGACCCATTATGTTACGAAGAACACAGAAAATATATAAGTCAAATATATTTAAAACAGTTCGTTCAGTTGCGGGCCTGCCTCTACCCGAGGCTGGGTGCATTATGAATAAAGACAAAAAAATTCTTAATAAATCATTCTTTATTTCCATCAAAACAGTATCACTCTTCCGAGCTCAGCTTTCGTTCGTCCACACGTAAAACATTCGAAAAAAAACTCAGCACGCAGGCTGACGTCACAAGCAGCAGCGCCTCGCGCCGGTTATTACTTCAGTTCATTTCACAACATCCTCCCCCCCTTGAGACTCAGGTTGAGTCTCAAACTCATAACAAACATTATTTAAAAGATCAAGTCTTTTTGGAACTTTTACAAGTCGTCCAGAGGAGGAATATTGTTGCATCACCATTTTATCAGGTGCAATACTCTTTTTTAACGTACACCCAGCACTAGAATTAGATTCCTCTGCACCCAGTTTCTTATCAGGAATTATGTTTCTATCATTGGACTGTATCTCCAGAGGAAAGATGCGTTGTATTGGTCGTATAACTATTCCATGCCGGGTCTTAAGTTTAACCGTACGAATCTTTCCATCACGTCCAGGGATCAATTCTGTAATTCGGGCTAAAGGCCAAAATAAACGTTTTCTGTTATCATCCCCCATCAGTACTATTTCTCCTACTACAGGTTCCCGAGATCGTTTTTCATTATGCTGCTTTTGAACCAGTTGACTAAGGTATTCTTTTCTAAATCGTTGTCTCAGATCATTTAACAATTTAGTTCTATACTTTAATCTCTTATTAAGACTTGACGAATTTAATTCATCAAGATCTTCAACATTGGAATTTCTGTTCTCGATAAGAAACATGGCGGGTGTCAGAGGTACTAATTCTTGCGGATCTTCAGAAACATAAGTTAAGGGTCTAGAATTAATTATAGTTTCACAATCACAAATAATAGTATAAAGTTCTTCATATGATAACACTGATTTACCTAAAGTACGTTTTTTAAGCAATTCTTTTACTGTACGAACCAACCTCTCCCACCAGCCACCCCACCAAGCTGCAGTAGGTGGAATAAATTTCCAGAGTATCCTTTCAGTTCCCGTTTCCTTTAATACTTTAGTCCAATTTAGTTTTGATAAATCATTAGATGCACCCCGAAAATTTGTCCCGTTATCACTATAGATTATTCTAGGGCGTCCGCGCCTAGCAACAAATCGTCGAAGCGCCAGGAGAAACGCATCAGTAGAAAGAGAATTTACGAGTTCAAGGTGAATGGCACGGTACACAGCGCAGGTGAACAGCGCGATCCACACCTTTCCTCCATTTTTTAAAAACAGCGGTCCGGCCAAATCAATCCCTATGATTTCAAATGGCGCACAATCCGTAACTCGGTCTGGCGGCAGAGGTGTCGGTTCGCTTGACATGGCCTTAGTTTTAAATCTTTTACAAACGATACAGTTAAAGAGGACATTTTTAATGGCCTTTCTAGCTCTGACTATCCAAAATCTTTCTCGTAATATGCATTGCATCATCTGAAGACCAGCATGACAGTTCTTATTATGCACATTTCTGATTAATAACTTAGTGAAATCACATTTTTCTGGTAACAGTATTGGATACAGAAAAGATTCATAGTCATCTCTATTTAGTATTCTCGTTTTAACTCTTAGAATACCATCATCATCAATGAGCGTTTCAATAAAATTATAAGATTTCTTATCAGTCAGATAATAATTTTGAACCAAACGAATTAAATTTTTCTCAGAATTTTCAATTTCATACTGTGAAAGTTCAATGTTTCCATTCTTTTCAGAACCACCTTTACAATTATTTACAAATCTAAATATCCATGCAAATACTCTAATCATTTTATCATAATTGGATACACTGATTCGATGCCAAGGGGGTGCGTCTTTTGATAGATCAATATTCACTTTTTATCTTTTTCCTCTCCAATTCTACTTCTTCATGCAAATAAATAATCTCACCAGTGGGCCAGTTTTCAGGGCCTTCTCGCAACCACAAGGGGCCTTCCCACCATCTAGACCGAAGCATTTGCTTCGCAAAACATCCGCGCGATAACAAGTCGGCAATATTTAGTTTCCCTGGGATATGTCTCCATGAATGACCTCGCGTCAACTCTCGAATCTCTTTAACCCTATTTTCGACGAAAACGGACCAATTTCCTTGCTCTGTTATCCACCAAAGGGCAGTGGTTGAATCAGACCAGAAGGTAACTTTTAAATCGGGCAAACTGAGAGCCTTGATAATAGAATTTGCAAGTCTAGAACCTATACAACAGGCCATTAATTCTAAGCGAGGAATGCTTAAAGATTTCAAAGGCGATACTCTAGACTTCGCCCGTACGAGATTTATTTTTACTTCAGAATTAAATATTGATCGAACAAAGACGCACGCTGCATACGCCCCCTTGCAAGCATCCACAAATACATGTAGTTCAGACGTGTCATTGATAAACAAGTATCGAGGCAAAGTAACATCTTTCAAAACATTAAGTTCTTTAAACCAGTTCAAAAATATATTTACATCATTCGGAGACAATTCATCATCCCATGCAATTTTCACTTTCCACAATTTTTGCAACAACAGTTTTGGAAGCAATGTAGTTGGCGTTAATAAACCAATAGGATCAAAAATTGTCTGCACAATTGCCAAAATTGTCCTCTTTGTGATTTTTTTGTATCACAGGTCAATGTATCTGTGTCTGTGCAGCACCTCAGCGTATCATTATCCAAATTCCAAATTACCCCCCCAAAACGGAAGTATCCCCTGAATGTTTGTCAACATTTGTACCAGCCACATTGCTTTCAAAACCGCGCAAGTTAAAACATCCATTTGACATGATTAATTTGGAATGTTCAATAAACGTAAACTGTTCATCAATACTAAAAAAACACTAGATAAACAATTATCCACATAAAATGACGATTTCAATTTTTGAGCAACTTCACTATATTGACGTGGACAGTTTTCTAATAGATGCATTATAGATGCGTTCAACAAGTAGGGGCTCGAAGAAACTCCAAACACAACTCTGCAATGCCTATAAATTAATTGCCTCTTCATTGCATGGGAAAAAAAATCTGAGAAAATCTCTATCTTTAGATGCGACGGATAACATTAAAAAAGCCTTTTCAATATCGGCACTAATACCAATCGGATACATTCTAAAACGATCTATAATATCAGGTATTAATTCAATAAGATTTATTCCTTTACACAAACATTCGTTCAAAGAGAGTTTCCCTTTCTCAGATGCAGAAGCGTCAAAAACAGGACGAATTTTCGTGGTTTCACTTCCTAATTTGATTACAGGCCTATGCGGCAAATAATGACATTCATTATTCAATTCGTTTTCTGGTACGCGTTCAATAATATTCAACCTTTCCCATTCCTTGAACACATTTTGATAATCATCGAAAAATTTACTACATCTGAGTTTATAGATCATCTTTTGATACCTTTTCCAGGATAATTCTTTATTATCGGTTAAATGTGTCGTATCACATTTCCACGGAAGTTCTACTTCATATCTTCCATCTGGAAGAATTTTCATTTTGTTCTCAAATTCAGATAAATTAAAACTTTCATTCATTTTAACAGTTTCGTTTGGAGCGCATATTCCTATTTTTTCAAGTTCCCATAACTCATTCAGAGGAATTCTCCTGACATGCATTGAAAATGTTTTCAAAATATTATCCTTTTCACCCGAATTTCGTTTTCCAAATACCGTCCACCCAAGTTTCGTTTCGACAGCCGTTACCCCCCGGACTGTAATTCAATAGAATTTCCCGTCAATAATTTTCCTATAACATCTGCTCCGATTAAAAGGTTAATTTCAATTTCCTTTCGCAATGGATCAGAAAATTCGATTTCTTTTTCTTTTAATTCATTCAAAATCTCTTTATCCTTAACCTTAGGAATAAAACCGCAAATCTTTTTTTCCGATAATGCCTCAAAACTACATGCGAATGTTCCTTTTAAATTGCTGACCTCGACCGAAAACACTTCATGTTGTTTAGGTTTCGTTTCGTCCCCCCCAAACAGTGCATGTATAACTGTCTCCTCCCGAAGTGGAGATGCTTTAAGCTGACTCATCATATATTTTCACTAACGTAGCTACTTTGGCTTCCGCTATCAATTATGCAGCGAATAATTTTCTCGCGACCTTGACACCGAATTCGAACGCAAAGCGTTTGCAAAAATACAGTTTCGCTTCTTCTGCTACAGTTAGAAAGAGAACTCTCTTTTGAAACATTTATCTGATCATTATTTTTTAGCTTTTGATTACACATTACATCAAAATGATTACAACTTTTGCAAATAGAACAACTTAACTTACCTTTGAAAGGACAAAATTTACTAATGTGACTCGCTCTTTTCAGACAAGAAAAACAAGCACCTTTTTTCAACAACAATTGTTGTTTTTTCAGCTAAAGTCTTTTTTTTTTTTTTGCAGAGTAACATTTTTCACTAAAATGTTTCTTTTCACAAAAATTACAGTTCGGAACACTCTTACCTGAATTCTCAAGACTTACTAGAGCTGATGCTGTTACGGGATCATTTTGCTTTACCTGTTCGTGGTTATAATCTTTCTTTCGATGGTTCTGTTGGGAAGCGAAACCAGTTCTTGCGAGGAGAACCATCTCTTCCCCCTTAACTTCCTGTTTTAAGAAATTCATTAAATATTTCAAAGATCGATTCCCTTTAGTTTCAATGGAGTCGTGATTTCTTTCTGCTTCTTTCCCATGCCATCAGTACTTCTTCTGGTAAGCAACTTTCCACTAAGGGGGTCAAAAAATCCCCATATTTTTCTTGGGTTCTTCCCAAACTTTCCAACGCTCGCAATTTTCCTTCTAGTTCATCATACAGGGAGGGTAGATCCGTTTTTGCTCTTCCGGTTACAGCGTTCTTCATCACTAGGCTTAACAAGTCTCTCACATAGATTTGCACAAGTAAATCTTCGCGTCCAAAGCGCTCTCTTAGTTGTTCGATGGCTTTAGGATAATTAGCTGCCGTTGCCGGGAAGCTAAGGACTAGGCGTTCTGCTTTCGATTTGGGTTCCATGGCCTGCAATAAATACTGCATTTTATCTTCATCGGCGATACTTTTGTCATCGTGGATTTTCTGGAACTGACTCCAAAAAGTCAGGTAATCTTTAGCTTCACCACTGAATTTTTTAAGCTCAATTTTAGGCAATTTAAATTTCCTAGATTCGGAATTATTTGAAGGAGAAGAGGCTTGTATTTCCGCATCTATTTGAGCACACTGTTCTAGAAACTTATCTCGATAATTCTCCGCTTCTTGAAAATCATCACTAAATAATTTTTCTCCATCTTCAGTCTGCAGAATTTGCTGCGATATAGCACTCTGGCATACGTCAAGTCTCTGGAATTTATCACAAAGTTGACACTTCAAAATCGAAAGTATTTTCAAATCTCTTACTTCTTTAGTTAATTCACTTTCGGTTTTCCTTGAGGTTTGCGAAAACGCAATTCTAAGTCCTTTTCTTTGAGCCTTTAAAGCGATCAAATCCATCTTCAAAGTATATTCAAAATCGAAATTCAATAATCAAAAGTTCAATCGGAAAATTCTAATTCAAAGCACCCGGTCCCGCCGAGGGTACCACTATGTTACGAAGAACACAGAAAATATATAAATCAAATATATTTAAAACAGTTCGTTCAGTTGCGGGCCTGCCTCTACCCGAGGCTGGGTGCATTATGAATAAAGACAAAAAAATTCTTAATAAATCATTCTTTATTTCCATCAAAACAGTATCACTCTTCCGAGCTCAGCTTTCGTTCGTCCACACGTAAAACATTCGAAAAAAAACTCAGCACGCAGGCTGACGTCACAAGCAGCAGCGCCTCGCGCCGGTTATTACTTCAGTTCATTTCACAACACATTATATAATTTAATATGGGAAGTTATAGGTATTTTTCATTGCTTATGTAGATACTATGATCCTCTCTTGAATTGGTGACAAGTATTTATTTATGTTGATTGAAATGATCCAAAACAGTGAAACAAACGTGATCTCTGAGATCATCGGAATGTATCACTTTGTAATCTAATTTTTGAAACATTTTTTAGTACAGCCGTATGAATTTATAAATTTTGTCATTATTAAGATATCATTTATATATTTAACTTATCATATTTATAAAATCAGTGGTGGATACAGTTTTCTGTAAAATTAATGCAGAGAATAATAACTTTCAAACTTAATAAACCTTAGCAACAGCAGTTAATGATCTCAACCTCACTTTGAAAGTTTGTATGTCTGCTAGCCGGTTCTGACAGAGTGATTCTCAAAAATTTTGAATCTTTTCTAATTTGTTTAGCACAATTGTGTGCTCTGAATTTTTGTTTTTACTAAACAATGTAGATTTGAATCATTATTTTACGTAACTAAAATGTTCTGATGCTTTAAGAAGATGAAAGGCGTAACATTTTCATTAATATCTGGTTTCTTAGCTGCTACAGCCTCGTTATGTGGAAAATTTTCTATGGCTGCTGAAGAAACTCTAGTTTTTTGCGAAAGCCTAATGCAAAAGCTTCCTGGAGCAGATGCCAAAAAATCTAATGCGTTTACTTATACACCTGTGTGTGAAAATGTACGTATATTATTTTACTTTTTGTATTTCCATTTGAACTGTTGGCTTTCAGTGAAAAATTGCATATATATTTCATTTAAAAGATGAATATTAAAATGAAATAGTATGCTATATATGTATGTATATAAAAAAATTAATTGTACTTTGCCATTTTTGAAACTTGTGGCATGCTTATTAGTATTCATAAATTGTTGCAGTATAGTTTTGTTAAGGATCTACTTTTACATGCTAGGTAATTGTTATTTAAACCTAAAATATCTGACTGAGGCTTACACTGTGTAGAGCAAACGCAACTTCTGCATTTAGAGTTTCTGTATCACTAAAATTCAGATACATCAAAATTTTTGCTCAAGACGTTTAGGACATTATATAAAAAGGGGGGCAAGTTAAAAAATTATGGAAACCAGAAATAAGCCTGTTGTATGTTACACTTAAATCAGTACTCTTCTGTTATCGAGACAGAATACAGAAATATACGTATCCATGCATGTATGTATGTATGTATATGCATACAAGGCTATGTATGCACACACATACATGTGCACATACATATGTACATGCATGCATGAACACATACATACATACATACATGCCTTTCCAAATTCTGTGCCCAAAACAGAGTACCCTTAGATCTGTTGCATGTTACTGGTTTAAAACTGATTGGATTCTGCTTTGAAAAATAACATATCGAAGTAATCTATGGCCCCTTTCAATGTAAACAATTAAAAAAAAAAGCTTTTTAAAATTAGTTTTATGATATCTTTAGTTTCTCATCAGCAGGGTAAAGATAGCAGGTAAGTAGCTTATATGGTAAAAATATATTTACAGGTGCCCTTTGGCAATAATTGGCGGTACATGGACACCAAGTTTGGTCAATTCTTTGACTTGTTATTTTGGCTTTGTGTAGTGCTGAAAAATTGCCGCTACACAAATCCAAAATAAGAAGTCAAAGAATTGCACAAACTCGGTACACATTGAATTTTTTTGCTTAAAAAAAATCGGAGAATTCTACAAACTAGGCATTGTGCACTGCCTTAACTTTGTCCATGTGCACATTGATCTGTTTTTCACTTAAACAAAATCGGGAAGCTAAAACAAAGTTAAAACTATCATCTTACCCAGAAATTCATGCTGTCTTAACACACAGAGATGAACAAATAATCAAAAATACACAGAGATTAATAAATAACCAAAAATGCGTATTTACTAACATAAAAACATTAAACAACAAATCTTTTAACAAAAATTGACACACACAGACAAATAAATGAAACGTCAATTTTTTGACACCTTTTTTACACGTGCGTATGTTCACGCTTCCCACTACCATCTCCTCCATCCTCCACGTAAGCAATTCAGTTAAATTTTTGGTTGCTTTGGCTCATCTGCTGTTAATCAACATTCATCCTCTTACCCACTTCAGACATACTCAAATGATGGTACGAACAGCAAAATAATAGCGAGCTCAAAATCCATACCTCAAACATCTAAGCAAACACAGCAACTGAAAACCAAACCGGGTCAATACGAAAGGGTTACTATTACAAAAAATAGCCAAAATCTAAATTTATTATGACATGTTTGGTGAAATTCATAGAAATAACCTCTTTTTAGTGACAAAAACTAAAATATATATATATGTAATTTTCCCCAACATGATTAACATTAGGGTTACTGAAAAATCTGTTTCAGGCAGAAAGCCTCCAGATTTCATGAACAACTAATACCACTTGGTGATTTTTTTCAGACAGAAACCAAGGGGTACCTTACAGTAAAGATCAACCGCACTACGCAAAGGAAATACCCACACACCTTATTTACAAATTTCCCCGTTTTCAGTCAAACAAAATTCCTTGCAGCATTCCTAAAATTATCTGAACTAGAATCTGTATACTGGTGTCACCAAATAAATTTAAAAAAAATAAGAGTAAAAAATATCCTCTGTAATGCAGGTATCCTCCGACGTTTGACCATACACATTTCCTTCCTACGAACAGAACATTTATAATGGCAACTAAGTAAACCTTCATTTACACACCAGTCAATTAATGCTTTTTTTCCTTTTATTCGAAATCGTACAGAAACTTCAAATTAATCTTGCAGTGTTCAGCCATTTTACCGTGTAAATTTTGTATCACAAAATGATAATATGCCGCAATCCGTCCCATCATTCGAATTCACCGCAATCATGCAACCAGTTACGTCATAATAGGTTTCCATAGCATTCAATTACTCAGGTTACCGTAAATGAAACAGCAACTTTGATAAATGAAACAACAACTTGGCAATAAATGAAACAACAACTTGGATTATCGACATAATCCAAGGGGCATCCTTCAATCTACTCTAACCACTCATATATATAAATGAGCATTTAAATAATATTTAATAAGCATTTAAAAATATTTTTTCCACTAAACCTAGTACCTATATAGGTCACTTTTAATATGATAATTAATTATAGTGCTTCAGGCATATGCTTAACCCCCTCTTGAATCGGTTGCTGCAAGTTTTTATGGTGCTTTCTAAGTTTACCCAGATTCTTTATATTTTATTCATTGTTGAAATTTTATTCCTAATTTTTTTGATTCACATCTTCTATTAAGGAACTCTTTTCAGAATTCTTAGAATTAATAATTAAATAAGAAATTCTTAGAAAAGAATTATAAAAAATTGTTCTATAATTTCAAAAAGTTATAATGTGCAATACTGTTTATGACTCGATGTGTTTGTATATTTAACCATCAGCCCTTTATTTTAGATTTAAACAGCAATCTAATTATCAAGATTTAATTCCAAAATAAAAATAATTATGAAGAAGTCAAACTTTAACAATAGGCCAAAATACCAAGACAAAGCCAGTTAAACATAATTTTAAGTGATTGAAAAACATATTCAAATTTACAAAGCTAGAAAGACAAATGGTGAACACTTTGTTTCCATTGTTAATGTTTGCTAAAAACAAAATAAAAGATGAAATTATTATGTGAAACATCCTCAATAAAAATATTCAGATTCTGTTACCATATCAATTATTACCACTTAGAACTTAAATTAGAAGGAATCTTGTGATTGAGAGATAGTATTGTCAACTGAAACATAGAGAGAAATGGAAAAAAGAACATTTTAAATATTGCCAATGTTATAACAGAAATTTGCCAGCAGTGTCTCGAAGATTATTAAGTATATATGATTATCTTAAAAATGAAATAAAATCTATACTAACATTGTCAGGAAGGGCACTTAAAAAGCAGGACATTTTATCAAATAAGGGTATTGTCTAAGACAAATAAGATTCTTAATTAAGAGAAATTATTGAAATCAATTTATTATTAATTTATTTATAACACAAATGTTTAAGTCTAATAATAGTCTTGCATTTGTGAGCAAAATAGAATTAGAATGCATTTTAACATAAGAAATTATCAAAAGTCCTTAAAAAGTACTTTTCCATTAAAGCCATACCCAGTCTATTGAGTACTTTTGGGGAAGTGCAGAATGGTGAAATAAATGCCAAAGATATACTACTTGTCAACATTTAGATTCTTATTTGGTTGAATTTATGTAGCATTGCATTCTTTCTAAAACAGAAATATTCTCTGATATGTTAAGTGTTATTTTTAATTTTATGCCTTCTCTTGAATATGACTTTTTTTTTAAGTGCAATTTTTGTTATTTTTATATTAGTTTTGAAAATTTTAATTAGTCACTAAAAATCAGTAAATATATATCTTTTATCCTTTTTTTTTTTTTTTAATCTGTATTTGTTATTTCATGTTTTTCAGATGTAGGGAAAGAAATAAGCCAAAATGGGGCAATTTGGTTTTAAAATCCATGGTATATTCAATGGAACATTACTCGTTAAAGATACATTTGTGATAAATTTTATCAAAGTTATACAAAGTCTGATTTCCGGACTTGTTGGGACTTCACCCATTCTAGCCATGATATTTTTCCATATCATCAGTTTTCTAAAATTTCCAAGATTCTGCCGTCAAACTCCTCTCTAAATTCTAAATAATAATAAAAATCTAAAAATTTAAAAAAAAAAAAAAACTGCTGCTAAATTTTGCATTCCTGCACCTTCCCTAAATTCTAAAGATTTTGCTATTCCTTAATTTTGTTGCTTCTCTAAATTCTAAAAATTTTGCCTGCCTTAAATTCTGGTGCATAGTGCAGCTTCGCCGATTTCAGCTTTGAGATTTTTCCAGATATTGGATCATCATAATATTAAATGTAGTAAGATAACATGCAGATATTATAAAATTAAAAATATGAAATATTGATTTAGGAAATAATGAAGCATTTGTCAAAATTACCTCACCCCCCAAAAAAGAAAGCTTGGTATTTATTTGTTTGCTTTAAACACTTGCTATTAAACATTTCTTTTGATGTAAGTTGTTTAATGTGCTTTGTTTTCTATGCTAATATTTTCTGTTTAATTCTGTAGGTAGATACAATTTCTTGTTGAGTTCCCAAGTTCCATTCTTCAAGTCCTGCAATGCCCAGGCCGAGAATTTCTACTAAATTGTCAATCAAAATTTTTTCATTCTCTGCAGTCTGTCTATCACTTTCCATAGATTTCTCCAGCCATTAGTAGATTGATGATTGGGACATTTTCATTGCAACGAAAAACTTCTGTTATAGCATCCTCATTTATTACTCTTTCACATTTGCTCAAAAGTTCCATTAAATGGAAAATTTCTCTTTTTATTTGCGATATCTGAAAACCTTCAAATTCGTGGCAGTCAACATAAGGCTCAGCTATACACTATTAAGTGTATAAGTTTTCTGAAATTTCCAAAATTCTGTTGTCAAGCCGCCTCCCTAAATTCTAAAATTTTGCTGCTGCTCAATTTGGCATTCCAGTGCCTTCCCTAAATTCTAAAGATTTAGCAATCCCTAATTTTGTTCCTTCTCTAAATTAAAAAAATTTTGCCTCCTCTAAATTCTGGTGCCCAGTGCATCTGCACCAGCTTTGACCAGGATTCTAGGCTTAT